GCCCTCCCAGGCCCCCTGCTCTAACCCACCCCTCCCCCAGAGCCAGGCACCCTCAGCCCTCCCCTCCCCCGCTCTAATCCAATGCCCCACCCCTCCCCCAGAGCTGGGGACATAATCTAGCAGGGTGGAGGGTAATGCGGTGAGTCCATGGAAGGAGCCAACCCCTCTCCCCACATTGGACCTGCCTTGGGTCTTGCCGGAGCCACCGCCACCACCCCAGCCACGCACTTTTCCCTCCAGCGCTGGGGCGCGTGCAAAGAGTTCAAACCGAACATTCCATGTGACAGGCACGTGCCGCAGCCCCCTCCCCGATCCTCTTTACAGGGCAAAATCCAGGAGATTTTTTTGCCATTTAAAATAGCCAGCTGGACAGAGATTTAACAAGTGAAAACGAGGACATGCCTGGGAAAAACTGGACGAATGGTAACCCTACCGTTGCCCATTCCAGCTTCTGACAGAGGCTAGGGACACTATTCCTGCCCAATAGCCATTGATGGACCTATCTACCAGGAATGTATCTAACTCTTTTTTGAACCCTGTTATAATCTTGGCCTTCACAACATCCTCTGGCCAGGAGTTCCACAGATTGACTGTATTGTGTGAAGAAGAACTTCCTTTTTTTCATTTTAAACCTGCTACCTATTAATTTCATTTGGTAACACTATTAATTTCATATGGTGACTTGTGTCATTTGGTGACCTATTAAGTTCATATGGTGACGTGTGTTATGGGAAGGAATAAACACCTCTTCTTTATTCACTTTTTCCATACCAGTCATGATTTTATAGACCTCTATCGTATCTTCCCCCCCTTAGTCAGTCATGATTTTATAGACCTCTATCATATCTTCCCCCCCTTAGTCGTCTCTTTTGGAAGCTGAAACGTCCCAGCCTTATTTATCTCTCCTCTTATGGCAGGGATATGTGCACATTTGAGCAAGCCTGACTATGGCCATAGGGGAAAACAATAGACCTAATGAATGTGACCTCATGTGGGGTTGTGAGAATTGACTTCTGTGTCTTAGGAATCATTGTATTTTGCTGCTCAGCATTCACAACAATCATCATGGTCTGTTAATGGAGCATTTAGGCCACATGAGCATATGGAGAGTGAGAAGTGGTGAGTGAAGGGCTGCGGAGTGGAAGGAGGCACATTAACACTATTCAAGTTCTGTGGATCTGATCCAATGTCAGACTAAAATCAGGGCAGACTTCCACTGCCTTTCACAGATGTTGGATCAGGCCCCATGTGACTGTCTCCCGGTTCCAGCTTCAGTACTAAGCTGTCAGGAGAAAGGGAAAACGCTGATCAAGGCATAAGGCAAGGAGCCATCTTTTCTTCATGCAAACCTTCTATTAGGTTGTTTTTTTTTTACCCAGACAGCCTTAACTCTATCTTCTGTGGCATGCTGAGCACAAATCTACAGATTTGCTGTATTTCTCCCTTTTCTAACATCTACAGTTACTCTGCAAATCACATAACACGTCCACACCCTTTTGCCAATAACAACACAATATAGTGCACATGTACAAACATTTAAAAACCTCCTTAAAAACAGGGGACGTTTCAAAGGGAAAATAATATCCAAGCCAGAATCCCACAGATTAGGAAGCAAAAATTCTGTTCTCAGCGGGCAGAGTTAAGGGTGTAGGGGGTAACAGTGTGGTGATGACAGTTGGTGACTTAATTTGCTTGCAGTATGGATGAATTGTGTGTGGGAGAGAGTGACTGTGTGTTTGAGGGTACTTGGGTGACTTTACCCTGGTTTTCATGGTACTATTTGCATTCAGGAGCCTTCATTGTTTTGATATAAATGTTTTGGCATCTTTGCACCTCATCCGGTTGCCTGCAATTTCAATCTTTTTCAAAGCATTTTGTAACACAGTGCTGTTGTTTTGTGTATTTGTTACCCCACTGAATTTGATTATGCTGGCATGTTTGGTCATGGCTGATTTACAAGGAGATTTTCAAAAGTCTGTAAAGGATTTAGTGCACTTGGGAGCTTTTAAAAATTTCCCCCATAAGATTTCATCCTAAAAATATTAAATTGTATGAGTCACAGTATCGTGTCCCATTGAGATCCCAGGCACTACAATCCAATCTGAGGTTTTAACAATTAATGCCACTCCATAATCTGTACACTGCATAATTTTACATCAGTGCTGTTAATCTTATTGATTTGGGATTTAGCCAGCATTGTATGTTGGTGTGGCACTATGCTGAATGGCTTACCCCAAATTTACTATATTCCCTTTGGTTACTAAATCCGTTTTTTTATCAGCCGTATTTTTTGTGACAGTTTCTTCTAGCATTGACTTGAGGCTACGTCTACACGACACCCCTCTGTCGGCAGAGGTATGTAAATAAAGCACATCGAAAGTGCAAAGGAAGCGGGGATTTAACTATCCCGTGCTTCATTTGCATAATCGTGTTCTGGCGCTGTTTCGAAAAGCACCTTTTCGAAACTGAATCCGCGGTTTAGACGTGGTTTTGCTGACAGCGGGGTGATTTTTCGACAGATCCTGTACTCCTCAAAAAATGAGCTTGCATTGGCAAGATACAGTCGGGGGGCTGACAGAATTCCTGGGCCCCTGGGCAAAGTTGGGGGTGGTGGACCTGTGCTTCTGGAAGGGTGGAGCCTCAGGCAGAAGGGGTGGGATACCCATCAATGCCATCTAGAGTGACCATGTCACGCTTTGCCCCACCCCTCTCCAGCCAGCCCTTAGCACTGCCCGGAGCACACTGTCTGGGGCTCTGGCGGCGATTTAAAGTAGTAGCAATGGTGACAGCTGGGAGCCCGGGCCTTTTTGAATCGCCAGGCCCTTGTCTTCCCCCGCCTCAGTAGCAGGCCTAGATACTGTGCACAGAGAAAGGACATCACGTATGAAACTGATCCGACTCTTGATTTTACCATTTCATCAGCTAACCAGCCATTTTCAAACTCTGGGTCAGGGCCCCATTTTAATGGGCTCGCCAGCACTGTCTTTGAGTTGCTGGGACCTGGTGCTGAAGCCTGAGCCCCATTGCCTGGAGCCAAAGCCAAAATCCAAGGACTTCAGTCTTGTGTGGCCGGGCTCATGGTACAGGCTCCCTGCCTGGGCTTTAACTTTGGCCTTCCTGCTTGGAGCTTGTGTTTGGGCCCCTCCTCCCCGCTTTGGGGCACTGGGGCTCTGGCAGGCCCAGCTTCAGTTCCCCCTCTCCTGGGGGTCATGAAGTAATTTTTGTTGTCAGAAGGAGGTTGCAGTGCAATGAACCATAAATAAAGCCCTGCAAATCTGCCGATATCTGCTTTCTATCCACAGGCATCCGCATCCACAGATGTGAATGCCGATCCCCACAGCTCATTTTTGCAGATGTAAATACAGATACAAAGTTTGTATCGAGAACCCTGCACATCTGCGGATATGTGCTTTATAGCCACAGGAACTCACATCCGCCGAGATGGATGTGGATATCTGCGGCGCATTTTCGCAGATACGGCTGTGGATACACATTTCGTATCCGCGCAGGGCACTAATCATAACATTGGCCAAGTGCAAAGGAGGTCCATGAGAAGGCTGTCCCGATCTCACTGGAAGGGAGCCCTTCTGATGATGCTCCCTGAGAATTAAGAGCATATGAAGACATAGTCGACATCCTGTCTCTGACAGTGGCCAACACAAGATAGCTCCAAGGTTGGTGCATTAGGGAGCTATGGAACCACCTATGTCTATACGGAAAGTTCCTTCCTTGTCCCCACCAGATTGAGAGGACGGTTTAGTCCTCAAAGCAGGGCGATTTATACTCCTTCCATACTTTTATTGTTGTTTCTAAATTCTTAGTCATTAACAACTGGAACAAGTCGACCTGATCTGCAACATCGCTGAAGAACTGGGCGCATCAGGAATCGACACCACCCTCCTCCTTCTGGGGGTCTCTGCTCCTTGCTGGCACTCAGGGGCGGCCCTAGACTGGGGCCCATGGCGAACCGTGCGGTCGGCGCCCCCGCCTCCAAACCCCTCAATGATATTGCGCCACCATTGGGTGCCCCGTTGAACTTGGCGCCCTAGGCGACCGCCTAGTTTGCCTATATGGACGGCCGCCCCTGCTGGCACTAGCACGTCTGAAAGGTGGCTATGAAGATGAGCGGGAGTAAAGGACTGGATTGGAGTCCACAATGTCTGGCTGAAGTTAGGGAAGAGCAGGTTGGGGGGCGGGATCGCGACAAATTGAAAACAAATAGTGTGAGCTCAGATTAAAACCACCACCATCAACACTCTCTCTCTGTGTTTCTTGGAATATTCAGCAGATCTCTGGCCCTGTATTTTAGCTGCAGCTGGCCCCTCCCCAGGCTGAGCAGTAGAGGAGAGAGAGGAAGAGAGAGAAGCATAAACCTCGAAGAAATTAGGTTGAGGGCACTTTAAATCTTTCCTGTCCCTGCTTGCTCATTCCTGTCTGGTACAATATAATCAGATCCTCTCCGAGTCAAGCCCCTTTCCTTACTGAAGGCAGCCTGGAATTGCTCTGCGTGTGTGTGTGTGTGTGTGTGTGTGTGTGTGTGAGGGAGAGACAGACCGATTGTGATTTTCCTGTGCAGTGCTGCTCTCTCCAGTCTGAGCCAGGAGGGGATAGAGACTTCTCTGCACTGAAGTGGAGTTTGCCATTTGCGGTGGGCTTGCTGGCATTTCTCCGCCGGCAGGGAGCCTTTGGGAGAACGGGGAGATGGCTAGGAGGGGCTGGGTCCTTCCAGTCCCTGGCTGAGTTTCCCAAGCTCCACTATTTTTCTCTACTGGGGGAAAGTGTTGGCTGGGGGGGTTCTGCAGCCTTTCGCGCTGTTGAACTGGAGTGAACTGGGACTCCTCTGACTTTTTTTCCCCTGGAAAGATCCCCCCCCCCTCCCTTTCCTTTCCTTTCCTTTCCTTTCCTTTCCCAGTTGATTGTGAGATTCTGTTTGGAGGGGCTTGACCCCTCTGCACCTTTTGGGTTCTGTCGCCTGACACCGGATCTCACCCAGCCGCTTGTTACGATTCAGAATTATTTTTGCTCTTCTCCTACCTGTTGGCTGGTGGCCGAGGAAGTTTCTGCACTTCTAGGTTGGCGAGGATTTTGCCCCTCTGGATTCCCTGCACTTCAGGATGCTGCTGCTGGGGAAGAGGATGTAACAGACTTGCACGGGGAGGCAGATCCTTTTTCTCTCCCTCGATTTCCCTATTTGGAGAGGATACAGATTTGGGGTGCTGAGCTGGGCTTGCTCATTGTTTTCTCTTTTCTCCTCGGGGGAGATTCAGGGAAGATACCACTGCTTTTTAGTAGCTGATTTGTTGGGGTAATCTGAATTTTTTACCCTTGGAGTGTGGTCTCTATTGATCTGCTGGCTTCCCTCGGAGTTTCTAGCCAAGGACCTTATGGGATTTTCCTTCAATCTACTTCATGGTAAGTGACCACCCCTTTCCAAAAGCAATTTTCCTGCACATAAAGTTGCAAACTGCTACATACTGTTGCAGCTGAAAAGCTTTTCTTCTTCTTCTCCTCCTGTGAGTTAAATAAAAAACAAACCTGCTGTATTTTCTTCCCGATTTATCAAGACCAGATTTTTGCTGCTTCTCCCCACCCCTGCTTTCCCCAGAGTGATTCATGGCTTGAAGGATGAGAAATGGCCACAAACCGAAATCAGTTACAGATGAGGAAGACTACAGGAGATATGCTTTGGAATCATTAAAATATTCCCACTACCACCCCAGTGCCCTACTTCTCCCACCCTGCCTCACAAAAAGTAAAGAAAAATCAGAACACCCCTAGACCCATTAGAAGCAATTAAATTTTGTATTGCTTGCTAATTTTGGGGGTGGAGATTTTCTGATACATTTCCCTGGTTTTTTATGCAAATAAAAAAGGGTGTAAAGGGATATTTAACCAAGATCCTTAAAGTGCATTGATTAATTGGTGTATCAGAAGAATGTAACAATTTGGGCAAAAGAATGAAAGGAAATGTTCCTACTGAAAAGAAAATGATCGTGTTGTAAACTTACCCACAGACATTATGTTGCTGTTAAATTACATATATTATATTGCTTTTACACATACACACAACAGAAAATCACAGTGAATATTTCTTTTAAAACTGTTGAAATATTATACCAGCATTTACAAATAAATGCATAGGTTATACATATACCTATTTTCCACGGTAATCATAGCGTAATAATTAAATTTCTTTTTTGATAGGTGTCTTATAAGTACTTATAATACCATTAATTTGTTACAGATATAATTTCCATATCTTCCAGATATAATGATAGTTCAGTTGTGGTTTTAGTAGTACATTTCAAGGACAGAATTTTCTGTAATTTATTTTCTTGTCATATAAAAGTTGACCTGGGCAACTCCCTACACTTTAATATGTTTGCTGACATTTATCTTACAAAAATATCATCCTCTTAAACATATGTAGATTCTGACTCTGCAAATGCATGGCCACATGCGTATTCTTTGCTTACATGAGTACGCTCATCAAATTCAGTGGAATTATTTCATGTGAAAAAAAATTACACACATGTTAAGTGTTCACAGGATTGCTGCATCGATTCTCTGCGTGAAACCATGGTACTACTGCAGTCAACTACAAAGATCCCACAAACTTTGTGGGGGCCAGCATTTCACTCTATATGTGTAGACAAAGAGCTATGTATTATTTGGAATTTTCTGACCAACTAAAAATAAATTGTATTCAATCAAACCTTTTTGTAATGCAGCTTCCTATCAGAATGAGAGAGGTTTGCCTCAAATCTTAAAACTTGAGCCAGGAAATAGAATTCAGCTTCAATTTTGAAATTCTCACGTTTGTAAATACCCCCAAGGAAGGGCAAAAGACCAGGGCTGTGTCATATGGTATAGCTGTTCTGCTAATCAGAAGTCAGGCTATGTCTAGACTACAAGCCTCTTCCAAAAGAGGCTTTTTTGAAAAAATCTTTTGAAAAAGCCTCTTTCAAAAGACAACGTCTAGACTGCAACCACTACAACCAGGCAGTCTGGATGCTCTTTTTCAAAAAAGCCCTGTTTGCATTCAAGAACGCCTTTTTTTGAAAGAGCACTTTCGAAAAAAGGCGTTCTTCCTCGTAAAATGAGGTTTGCCACGGTCAAAAAAACTGCCACGTTCTTTCAATTTAATTTCGAAAGAACGCGGTCGCAGTCTAGATGCAGGGGAAGTTTTTTTTTAAAAAAGTCCACTTTAAAAAAAAAAAAGCCTGCTGTCGAGACACACCCATACAGTCCAGCTTGGTAATTCATGGTGTTGCTGGTGGCTTGGGTGGGTCAGTTAGTTAGTCTTCTTGAGGGCCTAATTCTGTGTCCCTTGTGCAACCAAAGCCCCCACTGAAGTCAATGAAAGTTTTGGGTGCACACGGAATGCAGGATTGGGCCCAGAATCGCAGTCCTTTTTTAAGCAAAACCTGAAATGTGCCCATTTCTAGGGCTGGTTCCTGCTCTTTTTGAAGTCAGTTTACAGAACTTCCATCGATGTCAGTGAGGCAGCATTAGGCCCCAAAAGTCTCTTAACCTCCAAGGTGTAGGAGTCCAAAGCTGCAAGGTGCTGACCACCTCCCACAACGGTGCTGAGTGCTCCCAGCCAAGTCACTGGGAGGAGAGAATGCTTGAACTTGTGCCGGACTGGGCCTTTAACAAGCAAATGGGTTCGTGGTTCTACTGGGGGCTGGGACCAGTGGAATTTGCATACAGCAGCAGGGACTCGGAGCTAGGCCTTCTGGATTTTCCATTAGCAATTGCCATTTGCCATTTTCCTCATACCTTTGTTTCTCTACGCGGAGATAGGCTTTTAATGTAAGAATTAGCTTAATTAGCGTGACAGTGATAGACACCAGCTGCAGATTTTGGGCTTGTCCTTGCTGGAACAAAAATTCCCCTTGAAATCCTTTGGAATCTGGAGTTGGTAAAGACAGCAGGATCGCACCCTGGAGTTGGCCACATTCTCACTTTTAGCCTTCTCCTCATGTGTGCGGAGAAACCTCTCGCTCCGATGGCGGCGGCAGGAGTACCACTTGCTCTGCATGGAAGAGGTTTACATTCCAGTTTGCTCCTGATCTCATGGTAGTGGGATCAGGCCCCAAGGCATTGTTGGTAATGCTTGAAAATGCCACTTGCGCTGAGAGACTCAGGCTGCTAATTTTCCATGGGAACCCTATAGAATTCCCCAGGCTTTCATATCAATGCCAGGTAATGTTTATAATTAGTACTGGGGATACCAAGTCATTGTACCTAATGCTGTTGCTGTGATGTCAAAATCTTGGCCCCATTCAAGCCAGTGGGAGTTTTGCCGTTCGCTTTGGTGTTGTTAGGATACTGTCCTGCTCTGGTTGTTTCAAAGGGATGAACGATTCTAAAACTTCTTTGAAAGGTCTAGCCCTTTAGTCCTAAATTCCTTCTTCTGCCAACCCCTTCCCTTCCTCCTCCTCCCTGCAGTTAGGAGTGGATCCCGAGAGAACCCCACTATGAGGGAACAGCAGGTGTCTTGCTGGGTCAGTCCATTAAAGAAATAAACGACTGATCCACTAAAGGTATCCCAGCTCTGCATCAGAGACAACGTCTGCCCCTGACTTGAAAATGGCGTTAAACGGTGTCTACTTTCATTTAAAAAAAAATCCCAATGCAGTTATTTATTTAAAAAAAAAAAAAAAAAAAAAGAGCTGGGCGTGATCGAATTCCAGTTGTGCTTGTTTTGAGCATGAATGGGTAGTGCTAGATTCCAGTCCTAGTTACACCAGTGCAAATCCAGAGTAACCCGCTCTAGATTGAGGAGGTTGTAAGTGAGAGCAGAGCTGGGCGGTGCGAGGAATAAAAACCCCAGCCATTCCCTAGATGGATGTTTCTGATCCCCGTTACAAACTGAGCTCTCCCCCCAACTGTCTTGAGGGCTGCTGTCCGCAAGGCACAGAGGAGGGGGGCTGTAACTTCAGGAAGAAGGGAAGGATGAAAAATACTACCACAGGGTGCAAC